GATATCCAGCTGCTGTCAGTCGCTCACCAGCAGGTGGCGCAAGCGGCTGTTGATGAAGACCAAAGCAACATGTGGATTAAGTCATTCATTCACAAAAACTGATCTGCAGAAATGGAGCAAGCGCTAAGTAGAAGTTTTGATTATTGGGGCCAGTAAACGTGGAAAAGCTGATTGCGTGTATGTTTAATTCAACAGCTTTGCTGTTTCCCGTAGCCTACATGCATTCTTAGCGCTTGCTCCATTTCTGCAGAGTTTTTGTGAATGAATGATTTAATCCACCTGTTGCTTTGGTCTTCATCAACAGCCGCTTGCGCCTGTTGATGAATTTTTGAGGTTCTACCTAAATGTAAGAATAACAATTATTGTGTTTTTAGTGGCGAAAAAATATTATGACAGAATGCAACTGGACGTATGTAAAGTAGTAGAAGAAGAGACTTGTTTTCTCTGATCTATGTTTCAGATGCACGTCATTGTTTAACATCTATTCCTTGGAGTAGATATGGCCGTAAGTTATAAATTTCATAAGAAAATGCGTAATATTCTCTTGTGTTAGTTTAATAAGATCTGATTGATTATTGAGATGTTTAAACCTCAATGTTTGATTCTGAATTCTGGTGAGATCTAATGGCTAACATGCTAACAGAGCTGTGCAATCCCTTTTTCATGCAAGCACATTGTTAATCTAAATCAATTGTTTATTTGGGCATTTCAGTGTGTAAGTGAATGTTTATGAATGTGAAAGTGTAAATACTATTTTAAAATAGAATCCATTTGTAATTTGTATCTTTAGTGTTTTTCTTAGTTTTACAGTTGTGTCAAGTAAAGTATTCATTGCATACAAAGAAGAACGTGTGATGGAGCTTTATTTCTGTTAGCTATCTGTCAGCACCTTGTTCAGAACAACATTGCCAGGACAGAATACACGGAATGTGGCTTTGCAACCAAGTTCTTCAAAACTTTCTGACTGAAACCCCTATTAGTCTAGAGAAATATGTTATCTTCAGCTGTTGCTGTCTGCTCTGTGTGTGGAGCAGCTGCCTGATTGCTGTCTCCAACACCGAGAGCAGATGAAATGACAGAAGCAGCACAATTGGCCAAAATGTTGGTGACATTCATTCTTATGTATGTAACAATAGGCATTAGTGAGTTCAGCAAAAAAATATATCGTTGTTATGTTTACATATCGTACAAAGCCAATAAAGTATTTAATATGACAGGTCTACTGTTGTTGAGTGTAGCTGCTGGTGAAATGTACTCACTTGAGTATCTCCAGCTCACACACAGGATTCTTCAGTCCCTCACAGATCTCTTTGACTCCTGAGTCCAGCAGACGACTGTTGTTCAGGTTCATCTCTTTCAGGATGGTTTTGGAGGAGAGAACAGTAGCTAGAACTGAACAGCATTTCTCTGTCAGCTCACAATTATTCAGCCTAAACACAAAAACAACATTATTTATTACAAATTAGATCAAAAGATTCTCATATCTGCTCACACATGCGACTGAGAGATTTGAATAAACCGTGTACATCATGTTGACTCACTTCATTTTCTCCAGTTTGCTATGAGAGTCCATCAAAAGAGCAGAGAGTTTCTCCCCATCCAGGTCTCCTAATTTATCTTCACTCAGATCCAGTTCTTTTAGTACTAATGGGTTTGTACCCAGTACTTCAGTGAGGTGCTCACATGCTTTCTGTGCAGCAGGACTTTTCAAAAATCTACAGGAAGTAGAAAAGAACTTAGATTAGATAACCATGTTATAATGTCATGCCTTTTGCAGCTCTCATCCTCCTTATGGGTACAGTGTATTTATGATAATTACATCATAGTTGTGATAATTGCCTCTAGTTCTGCTGAGAAAATAAAATTATAAAACTCATAAATTCATAATCATAAAAAAACATAATTTTTTAATTATTCATGTTAATTATGTACATTATTGTTTGTGTCAGAAAACTTGAGTGTCAGACTCATGAAATTCAAATGTGTTTTGGTATTGAATTTCTTTAACTTGAAATTCAGTAAATTCTTTTTCCTGTCATTTTAATTCTGCATGTACACTACAGACACTATGACTGTGGCTTCATTTAAATATCTGAAAACTTCATTCACCTGATGGTCTTTAATTTACAGCTTTCACCCCGCTGTAAATCAATGAGCCCCTCCACTCCTGATTGTCCAGGATCATTTCCTGTGAGATCCAGCTCTGTCAGGTGTGAGTTTGACTTCAGAGATGAAGTCAGAGTTTTATATCCTTCTTCAGTGATACTGCAGTCTGAAAGTCTGTATATAAAAAGTCAAGTACAGCAGCTAATGCCTTAATATCACCTGATTCATTCAATTTTCTAAATATTACATAAAAAAATTAAATTGTAAGTAGTAAGAAACAAATAATAACAAATTTAAGTAACAAAACATTTTAGTCTCCACAATTGTCTAGATTTTTATCATTTGATCTAATCCAATAGACATTTTGTAATTTATTCTGTATCTTTGTGATTTTGTGAACGTAGTTTGTAATTTTTCTGTTCCTGTTTCATGTGTTCTCATTACTCCCTGATTGTTTGAACCTGTCTTGTTAGTCTAATTCTCCCTGTTTATTTAAGCCTTTGTGTTTTCTGTGTTAATTGTCTGGTAATGTCCATTGATGGATATATAATTGGTGTTCTTAGTTCCTCTCTTGCTGTTTTCTTGTCACCTTGGTTTTTTGTGTTTTGTTGATTTTGTTTGTATTATAAAGTTCCCCAGATCAAACAAAAAGCACAAAGATACAGAATAAATTACACATCAATACATTCATATTTACATGCAGAAATGTACATAAATGAAAATACACACTTCAATTTCTGTAATCTGCATTGTGCATTTTCCAAAAGAGAACAGATTTTCTCAATTCCTGTGTTTCGTAGTTTATTCCCACTCAGATCCAGCTCTATCAGGTTTGAAGGATTTGAATTAAATGCTGAAGTCAGAGCAACACAACCTTCTGCTGTAATACTGTTATTCTTCAGCCTGCAGAGAAAGAAAACAAAGACAGGAAACAATCTTCAGTTTATCTCAAAACCTTCATTAAGGAACAACGGCAGTCCTAATCCAAGCAAGCTACTAACAATAAAATATGAAATAATATTATATTTTAAATATTTTTAAACAGGTTTTACATTTTATGTATTAAACCATGTACAATACTCACATCAGTGTGTTGAGTTTACAGTGTTTATCCTGCAGTAGAGCAGAGATCTGATTCACTCGTGTGTCTCCTAGCTTCTGTTCACTCAGATTCAGCTCTCTCAGGAGTAACGGGTTTTTACCCACAATTCCTTTCACATACTGACAGGCTTCATCTGCAGCAGGACCCAAAAACCTGATGAGGAAATAATGAAAGAGTTTATTTGGTGGTAAACTATCCCTTAGCATTTTTAATCTAGATTATTATTATTATATATAAACACTAATGACAACAGCAGCAGCAATAGACTCTACAGCTTATTGTATTAAAGAAAGACTATTTATAATCTGCATTTTATCTGTAGTATTATTTCATCATGTCTCACCTCAGTGTCTTCAGTTGACAGTTTGGATCCTGTAGTAAATCATTGAGCTGCTTCACTCCTGATTGTCCAGGATCATTTCCTGTGAGATCCAGCTCTGTCAGGTGTGAAGGGTTTGATCTCAGAGCTGAAGCCAGAGCTTTATACCCTTCTTCACTGATACTGCAGTCTGAAAGTCTAGAACAGGAATGAAAATGTAACATTCAGATGATTAATCAGTAATTCTAAAAAAATCCTTGTTCCTTTAACAAATTAATAAAAAAATAATAATAATAATTAAACAAAACCCATGACTTAATATGGATGCAAACAAAAGGCCCAGAGACCTTTAATATGTTAGACAGCAACTCACCCGATTTTCTTCAGTTTACAGTTCTCCTTCAATCCACCAGAGAGAATCTTCACTCCTGAATCCTGCAGATTATTATTGCTCAAGTCAAGATCCTTTAAACTGCTGGAGGCTGAACTAAGAACTGAAGTGAGAGCTGAACAGCTTTCCTCAGTCAACTCACACTTACTGAGCCTGAAAAAAAGATTCTTAAATTATTGTCATTATATATTGCATTATATATGTAAAACAAAAGTAAACATGAACAAAAATATTTAAATGAAGCATTTCTTATATTGTCCATATATCTGAAAGTGACTCATCATTAAGCCTTTAAATGTACAGATATATTTAAAAAGCACATTATTTAGTCACATAATTTGTAAGGCCTAATGATGAGCCTCTTTGAGATATATGGACAATATGAGAAATGCATCATTTAGATATTTTGTTTTACCTTAGTAAATTATCTTAGTAAATTTACCATAGTAGCTCCAATTCACACTTTACATTCTCCAGTCCAGTGCAGAGCAGTTTCACTCCTGAATCCTGCAGATTATTATTGTTCATGTTCAGCTCTTTTAGACTGGTATCTGATCCAAGAACTGTAGACAGAGCTGAACAGCTTTTGTCTGTTAAATTGCAATCATTTAACCTATAAGTGAAATTTAATCATAAAATTGGGTAAATACATACATTTGGTAAATACAAAAATGTAAATATTTCTACCTAAACATTAAATATATTGTGAGGCTCATAGATCAGTAATTTTCAGACAGTGATATTTGCTACATAAAACAATCTTAAGCATGTTAAAAATGCTGAGGTTTATGGTTGATGTACTGTAGGACTGCAGCTAATATTATTTTGATAACTGATTAATCTGTAAGTTGTTTATGTGATCAATTAGGACTAAATCAATACTTATTTCCAGTAAAAAAAAAAAAAAGCTAATAATGTGCAAACTGGATGCTATGAAAACAAACATGGTGAATGTATCTAAGTTGGCTATACATTACATGAAAAAAAAATTAAACATCATGATCTAAAACAAAACTGCTTGCCCAACGTTTTAAAGTCACTTAATTAAGAATGATAAAGAAAAACAAAAACACAGACTAAATGTTAACTGGTAACAATTACATTCACTCAAAATAGTAATTATATTTATACCCCATTACAATAGTCCATTTACAGTTACTGTGCCCCTTAAATATAATTAAGTTTCATGTAGCATTTTAAACCTACATTCATCTTAGAAAAATGCATATTTTAGTTAGAATAATTGTGCTACATTTCTAATGTGCTCTACTTGTTTGATGTGCATGTGTGTGTTGGTGCTCGATTAACCCTTAAATGCATACCTCGGGTCTTTAGCGACCCGGGACATCATTCTCTACCCTCTCCCTCCTTCATTTTTTAAAGTTAAACATCAACTTTCTTAGTATTCCTCAATCTATTCATTAGAAACAATATAAGAAGAAAAAAATTGTAAAATATAAAAGAATGCCCGTTTTCTGATTAATTTTTTGTAAAAAGTTTATAGGGTTGCTAGAGACCCTAGGTATGTAAATGTGTAAGTATTTTTTTCTGCGCAACTATATTTACATATCGGATGACTCAATACGTGCAATGCATCTTTTTGCCTCAAGGTGGCACTGTTTCATACACAATGATGACGTGACGTTTCACTGATAATTACAGCAGGCATAAAACAAACGAATATCATCAGCAAAAATGTAACTGGTTTGAATGGCTTTACTGCAGAGCAATTACTATACGCAATGAAATATAAATGTCACTGCCATTTGATGCTGGATGTGGTGAATAAGCTGGCAGTGATCAAAATATTGAATATGAAGTCATTGAAAATGATAGTTTTGAGAATATGGCTGAGATTCGTGAATATGAGGCAGATGCTGAATGTACTGTGGAAGTGCGCTCTGACGATGACAGCGACGCTAAAATCATCTGCTCAAATTCAACCCTTTTAAGTTTCAAAAGGTAACGAAATATGCTTTGTTTTTTTTTTCTTCTGTAATTGTTCTTAAACTATCAAGAGAGTACTTTTTTTTTGCTATTGCAGCAGTTAGAGATCCATCCGTGCTGGATATTTAGGTCCGGGTCGCTGAAGACCCGAATATGTAATAATGATTGGCGAAACATTCATGCATTTAAGGGTTAATGAAGTCTGTGAAGTTCAACAAATACTTGCTGTCAGGAAGAACTTTTATGCAAAATGCAAATACTTGCAGGATTTTCTGAAATTTACATTTATACATTTAACTGCAAGTGTATGTAAGTTATACACTGAGGAAAAAAAAAATCTCCAAATGCATTATACAGCACACACATCTGCCAGAGCACCTGTCAGAGCCACATTACACTATACGTTTATGTATTTGTTTGAAGTGCATAATATAAAGCATTCTCACATTATATTCAATTAAACTATATAGAAAGAATAACTTTGGCGTGTTGTTTAGAATTAACTTGCAGGCGGTATATGATTCAAAAAATGAATTATAGAGGGTTATTGATAAATGTGTTTTAAGATGAGTGCAAAATGTGACAAATTACTAACAAAGCTTTTTTGGAGGTTTTGATGACTGGTGATAGTCGAATGAGACACTCATCTGATTTCTTGAATTTCTGAAGCTCAAACTCCTCCATCTCTTTCTCTGATGTCAACAACACAAAGGCCACAGCAGACCACTGGGCAGGAGAAAGCTCAGCAGATGAGAGACTTCCTTCTCTAAGTTGAGTCTGAATCTCGTTCACCAGAGTTTGGTCGTTCAGTTCATTCAGACAGTAGAACAGATTGATGGATCTCTCTGAAGACAGATTAGCTTCTAATTTCTGCTTGATGTACTGAACTATTTCCTTTGTGCTCTGGTCACTGCCATCTTGCTGTGTCAACAGACCTCGTAAGAGTGTTTTTTTAGACTTAAGTGACAAACCGAGAAGGAAGCGAAGGAAAAGGTCCAGGTGTCCAGTTTCACTCTCGAGTGCCTTGTCCACTGCAGTCTTGAGCAAATCAATCATGGTGTCATTTTGGTTTTCATGTTCTGTAGACTCTTGAACAAATGTGTTTTTCTTGTTTTTGTCTAGAAACAGATGTGCATAAAGGGCTGCAATGAACTCTTGGATGCTCATGTGAACAAAGCAGTACATGGTACCAAGAATGATCCCCGTTTCCTCCTTAAAGATCTGGGTACACATGCTTGAGTACACTGATGCTTTAGAGACATCAATACCACAGGCTTCAAGATCTGATTCATAGAAGATCAGGTTGTTTTTTTCCAGCTGTTGAAATGCCAGTTTCCCCAGTGACAGAATGGCATCTTTATCCCAGGAAACATCTGGTGTGTATTCTCCATATTTTCGTCTGCTCTGCTGAATCTGAAAGCGGAGCAAGTGGGATCTTAGAAAAATGCATATTTTAGTTAGAATAATTGTGCTACATTTCTAATGTGCTCTACTTGTTTGATGTGCATGTGTGTGTTGGTGCTCGATTAACCCTTAAATGCATACCTCGGGTCTTTAGCGACCTGGGACATCATTCTCTACCCTCTCCCTCCTTCATTTTTTAAAGTTAAACATCAACTTTCTTAGTATTCCTCAATCTATTAATTATAAACAATATAAGAAGAAAAAAATTGTAAAATATAAAAGAATGCCCGTTTTCTGATTAATTTTTTGTAAAAAGTTTATAGGGTTGCTAGAGACCCTAGGTATGTAAATGTGTAAGTATTTTTTTCTGCGCAACTATATTTACATATCGGATGACTCAATACGTGCAATGCATCTTTTTGCCTCAAGGTGGCACTGTTTCATACACAATGATGACGTGACGTTTCACTGATAATTACAGCAGGCATAAAACAAACGAATATCATCAGCAAAAATGTAACTGGTTTGAATGGCTTTACTGCAGAGCAATTACTATACGCAATGAAATATAAATGTCACTGCCATTTGATGCTGGATGTGGTGAATAAGCTGGCAGTGATCAAAATATTGAATATGAAGTCATTGAAAATGATAGTTTTGAGAATATGGCTGAGATTCGTGAATATGAGGCAGATGCTGAATGTACTGTGGAAGTGCGCTCTGACGATGACAGCGACGCTAAAATCATCTGCTCAAATTCAACCCTTTTAAGTTTCAAAAGGTAACGAAATATGCTTTGTTTTTTTTTTCTTCTGTAATTGTTCTTAAACTATCAAGAGAGTACTTTTTTTTTGCTATTGCAGCAGTTAGAGATCCATCCGTGCTGGATATTTAGGTCCGGGTCGCTGAAGACCCGAATATGTAATAATGATTGGCGAAACATTCATGCATTTAAGGGTTAATGAAGTCTGTGAAGTTCAACAAATACTTGCTGTCAGGAAGAACTTTTATGCAAAATGCAAATACTTGCAGGATTTTCTGAAATTTACATTTATACATTTAACTGCAAGTGTATGTAAGTTATACACTGAGGAAAAAAAAAATCTCCAAATGCATTATACAGCACACACATCTGCCAGAGCACCTGTCAGAGCCACATTACACTATACGTTTATGTATTTGTTTGAAGTGCATAATATAAAGCATTCTCACATTATATTCAATTAAACTATATAGAAAGAATAACTTTGGCGTGTTGTTTAGAATTAACTTGCAGGCGGTATATGATTCAAAAAATGAATTATAGAGGGTTATTGATAAATGTGTTTTAAGATGAGTGCAAAATGTGACAAATTACTAACAAAGCTTTTTTGGAGGTTTTGATGACTGGTGATAGTCGAATGAGACACTCATCTGATTTCTTGAATTTCTGAAGCTCAAACTCCTCCATCTCTTTCTCTGATGTCAACAACACAAAGGCCACAGCAGACCACTGGGCAGGAGAAAGCTCAGCAGATGAGAGACTTCCTTCTCTAAGTTGAGTCTGAATCTCGTTCACCAGAGTTTGGTCGTTCAGTTCATTCAGACAGTAGAACAGATTGATGGATCTCTCTGAAGACAGATTAGCTTCTAATTTCTGCTTGATGTACTGAACTATTTCCTTTGTGCTCTGGTCACTGCCATCTTGCTGTGTCAACAGACCTCGTAAGAGTGTTTTTTTAGACTTAAGTGACAAACCGAGAAGGAAGCGAAGGAAAAGGTCCAGGTGTCCAGTTTCACTCTCGAGTGCCTTGTCCACTGCAGTCTTGAGCAAATCAATCATGGTGTCATTTTGGTTTTCATGTTCTGTAGACTCTTGAACAAATGTGTTTTTCTTGTTTTTGTCTAGAAACAGATGTGCATAAAGGGCTGCAATGAACTCTTGGATGCTCATGTGAACAAAGCAGTACATGGTACCAAGAATGATCCCCGTTTCCTCCTTAAAGATCTGGGTACACATGCTTGAGTACACTGATGCTTTAGAGACATCAATACCACAGGCTTCAAGATCTGATTCATAGAAGATCAGGTTGTTTTTTTCCAGCTGTTGAAATGCCAGTTTCCCCAGTGACAGAATGGCATCTTTATCCCAGGAAACATCTGGTGTGTATTCTCCATCATATTTTCGTCTGCTCTGCTGGATCTGAAAGTGGAGAAAGTGTGTGTACATTTGTGTCAGAGTCTTAGGAATGTCTTCAGTATTTGATATCTGCAGTGTTTTGGAGGCATCACCAGCCTGATTGTTTTTCTGATCATTATTTCTTTTCTCCTCCAAAATGTTCTGGAGAACAGTGGCTGAAATCCAGCAGAAGACTGGGATGTGGCACATGATAAAGAGACTCTTTGGTGCATAAAGGGCTGCAATGAACTCTTGGATGCTCATGTGAACAAAGCAGTACATGGTACCAAGAATGATCCCCGTTTCCTCCTTAAAGATCTGGGTACACATGCTTGAGTACACTGATGCTTTAGAGACATCAATACCACAGGCTTCAAGATCTGATTCATAGAAGATCAGGTTGTTTTTTTCCAGCTGTTGAAATGCCAGTTTCCCCAGTGACAGAATGGCATCTTTATCCCAGGAAACATCTGGTGTGTATTCTCCATCATATTTTCGTCTGCTCTGCTGGATCTGAAAGCGGAGAAAGTGTGTGTACATTTGTGTCAGAGTCTTAGGAATGTCTTCAGTATTTGATATCTGCAGTGTTTTGGAGGCATCACCAGCCTGATTGTTTTTCTGATCATTATTTCTTTTCTCCTCCAAAATGTTCTGGAGAACAGTGGCTGAAATCCAGCAGAAGACTGGGATGTGGCACATAATAAAGAGACTCTTTGATTGTTTAACATGATCAATGATTTCTTTGGCCTGATTCTGATCAGTGAATCTTTTTTTGAAGTATTCTTCTTTTTGTGCATCATTGAAACCTCTGACCTCTGTTACCCGGTCGATACAGTCAGGAGGAATCTTACTGGCAGCTGCTGGTCTGGTGGTGATCCAGATGAGAGCAGAAGGAAGCAGATTTCCCTTGATGAGGTTTGTGAGGAGAACATCCAGAGAGGCTGGTGATGAAACGTCACACCACGTGTCATTACCATCAAAGTTTAGAGGAAGACGACATTCATCCAATCCATCAAGGATGAAAAGGACTTTGAATTGATTCCTTCTTGTAAGGTTCAGTCCTTTTGTCTCAGGGAAAAACTGACTTACAAGGCTCATCAAACCTTGTTTTTTTTTCTCTTTTAAGTTAATCTCTCTGAATGGAAGAGGAAATATGAAGCTGATATCTTGATTTTCTTTTCCTTCGGCCCAATCCAGAACAAACTTCTGCACAGAGACTGATGTTCCGATGCCAGCAACTCCTTTTGCCAACACAGTTCTGATCTTCTTGTCTTGTTCAGGTGCTTTAAACAAAACAAACTTTTGCACAGAGACTGATTTTCCGATGCCAGCAACTCCTTTAGTTAATACAGTTCTGATCTCGTCTTGTTCAGGTGCTTCAAACAAATTTGTGCATTCAACCTGTATCTCTTGTGTTTCATGACGCCTGGCAGCAACTTCAATCTTTCTAATCTCATGTTCATAATTGACCTGTTCACTACAACCCTGAGTGATATAGAGGTCTGTGTAGATGCTATTCAGAAGTGTAGAGTCACCATGCTTTGCAATTCCCTCAAACACACACTGATACTTCTTCTTCAGGTTCGATTTAAGTTGTCGTTGATTAATGAAGACCAGCTCATCTAAACAAACACAACAAAAACACTTGATCCTACTTTTATTTCCTTATTTTATAAGTGAGAGTATGACAGATGTTCATGAGCCTCTTACCTTTTAGAGTGTCTGCAAGTTTATCTTGCTTCATACTTTTTAGAAAGTAAAGTGTGATATCAAGAGCTGCTTCTTTGACACTGCACATGTCCTCTATAAAATCCTGGACAAAGTATTGTGTGTTCTCTTTTTTTAAAATTTTCTTAAACTTTTCCAGCTCAGTCTTCAGAAATACAATTATTTTGTACTCAAGGTCCTAAAATCAAAGAATAAAAACAAAAATTTCAACAATAAAATGTAATCAAATCTTACATCCACATATGAACGTGAGGTCGAACAAGTTACAGAGAGGCAACAGTAAAACGCTTTATTGAAGCTGTGATAATGTGAGACATTTAACTACAAAATAGTACGGAAGTTCTAAATGGCCATGCATTATTATTTTTTTCCTTCTTGTTTTCTTGTGATCTCGACATATCAAGAGTTGTTTTCTTATTATCACGACTTAATTTTCTCGTGATCACGACATAACAAGAGTTGTTTTCTCGTTATCACAACTTATTTTTCTTGTGATCTCGACATAACAAGAGTTGTTCTCTAAATTACACAACTGCGCCAACAGGTGGCAGTATAGAACTATTTATGGGGAGTTGTATAGGCTACTACTGTCTCAACTATAGCCTACTGTACGCGTTTGGTACAGAGGACCTTCTTCATGATAGGCTATCTATAATTTGTGCCGTTCATTACAGACATTTAATTAACTTACAAATGTTAAATGCTTGAATAAATATGATCATTTTGCTTGAAATTTTATGTTATCGTTACGTTACTGCTGCACGACAAATCTGTTTCTCATTTACAACAACGTACAGCCCATTTGTAATGTGCATTTTTCTTATTTTTAATCTTTATTGTTAATAAATTGATATTAATAAGAAATGTGATTTACATACGTGTATAATTTAGTTCAGTGATGTTATACAGTGTTGTAGCCTAATCTTTTGTATTTTCTACATTTCTTTGTAAACCACACACACTCACACATAGCAGTAGTGTTGTCACGTTACCAAAATGTCAGTATTCGGTACCAATACCAGTGAAAATCCACGGTTCTCGGTACCAATTTCGGTATCAAAGCAAAACACAAAAACATGCTAATTAAAAAAATTGACTATACTTTCATTTAATCCAAACGGTGTACATATTAAAAAAAATTTTCTTTTGAAAACCTAGTTATTCAGCCAAGAATAACAACTAAGTTAGCTAATGTTAACCATTTGTACATTCTCTAGCACGCATATTTTAGATTCACAATTAATTTAAAAGCTTCTGGTGTGTAAAAATAGTAAATATCATCATGTCCTCCTGTTTTTTTTTTTTACCCTAATAAAAGTTATAGGAGCATTAAATAGTTAATAAAGAAACTTCATTCTAATGCTCATTATATTAGCGTTAGAGCGCTTATGCTAACAATTAACTACTCTAATAAAAGCATTAATTTCAATCCGACATTCAAATTAAAATATTGAATAATATTCATAACAGAAACGGTGTTTCCCACAGACTTGCACTCTATTTGTGGCGGCATATATATGCAAATTAATTTTCTGCCAGCAGGAGGCGCTTGTAGAGCGGAAGAGATAGAGGTTTCCCCAGTAACGGCTGTTATCAAATAAGTGCTGCGCTCACAAACGAAAATTATTTTTTTGAAGACAGTCGGTTTCCTTCAGAAATACAGTGATATAAAAACACCCGCACCGGGTTTCGACTTTGACAC